CCCCCCCCCCCCCGTTTCCCTTTGCTTCTCCCCTTCTCCCCTTCTCCTCTCTCGCCATCATTTCCATATCGTTCCTTCCGATGCATCGTGGGACAGAGAAGCATTCGTACATGGTGTAAAGGTTGCAATGATTTTTAACGTGCTTCGAACCTTTTCCGTCCCATCATTGCGGCGCTCAAGATCAAGTAAACGCCCTGCAACGGCAATGTCTAATTCAACTTGTTTTCTATGTGGATTAACTTTTTCCAGAAGAGAGCGTACACAACTGTGCGTACACTGTGACTGAGAGAAACAGCTCTTAGTGTATCTGAACAGAGACTGTATGAATATCATGATGATGTATTAGAACACGCGCTGCACGCGGCCTTTTGCAGGTGGTTCAGAGAACGAGGGTGGCCTTGGTAAGTAATCGATGGCCGCAACATGAAGGTACATGCCATTGTCTGTTACAGCAGTTTAACCTGACATCGGGACGCCATGGACGGGAGTCATCTTCTCTGCCACGCCGACATTAACCCTGGTTGATTTTCAGTTCGTCTCGCGGTCATTCTGGTTATTAGTCTCTCGAAACCTATCTGTCCACACGCCACTCGTACCACCGAACGCTCTATCAATCGACCTTAGCGCGTACCTCCTCATCGACCCCCCTATTCGCTTCGTTCAATTCGTGTGCTTCATCCAACTCATTGCGTTATCCAACTCGGAAGCGTATACTGTCGAGGAAATTCCGTTAGAATTTAGAACGAAACACGATTAATACTACGCCAGAATGACCCCTCCTCCATGGACATCGGCTACGCAGCACGCAGCAATGATCTATCTTTATCATTCGACATCTGCTTTGCTCCATCTTTCCTAACGCAGTTTTGTACAGGGCCGCCGCACTTCCGGTCACATTTCGTCTGATGACGGACAAGCTTCGGGTCGACCCGAGGGTCACCAGGTTCGTTCTACCGATCGGTTGCAACATTAACATGGACGGGACAGCGCTGTTCGTCGCTGTGGCCAGCATATTTATCGCGCAGATGCATGGCATCGTCTTGGGCTTCGGTGAAATTATAACCGTTATGTAAGCTCCTTTCATCCCTTAATTCTCCTCCCTGTCTTCCGTTCGCTTCAACGTCGTAACGTTCTTTTCTCCTTTCAAGTTTGACTTCTACCGCTGCGTCCGTGTCATCGGCGTCAGTTCCAAGCGCCGCTCTGGTCCTCCTTCTCGTCGTTCTGAGCGCCATCGATGCTCCGGTCTACAACGTCTCGCTGCTCTTCACCATCGATTGGTTCGTGTAAGTAACCGTTTTCCTAACGTTCGATCTAAAATTGGAAGCAACGTGTTTAAGCCGAGCATTTTCTCATCCAGAGATCGTATTCGAACCACGAATAACATGTTGGGCGATTGTTACGCCGCTGCTGTGGTCGAGCAACTGTCGAAGAAGGAATTGATGGCGTTGGACGCGGCAGCTTATCAAGTAGGATTATCGCGCGATCGTCGCAGTGTTTGAGGGGAAAGTAAGGTGGAAAATAATGGACGATGTTTTCTTTCCAGTCGGAGACCGTTTTGCCGACAACCATCGCAAACGGATGCATTTCCGCCAACAGGGTACCTGATCCTGATACCATCGTCGTCGAGATGCAAGACGACTCGAGGATAGCCGGCGTCGCCAAGTAAACAAGCTTGTTGGTAGGGCTAGGCTATCACTTTGTAAGATTCCAACGATCGCGCGCATTTTCGTTACGTCTTTTATTAATTCTGCTTTGCTACCGCAACACACTCGTGCAAAACCGTTGACATTTACGAACGATTCGTGGCAAGCTTTCATCATGGTACGTACGTTTTTTCGTTTCCACCGTTCTCCTGCATCGCTATCGAACACACTCGACCTTCGCTTCCTTTCAATCGAACTCGCGGCGAAATATCGATCGTCGTCCATGTGACGGTAAGGAACGAAACGAGAAAAGAAATTCTTACGTAGCAAGCGCAATTACGTCCGCCCACGATACTCGAGGAATCGACCGATTCCTTTTATAACCCGTTGGTAATTATTAAGCCTACGTTTCGTCGCATAGGACGATAATCGAGCCGCTTTGACCTAGAAGCCGTAGATCACTGTACTCGCGTGTCATCGCATAAATAACCGATCAATCGCAAGTGTAGCGTACCGCGAAGTGATTCGTGCGAGGAACAAAGTGGACCTTCGTATCGGCATTATGCAAATCGCTGCGCAACGACCTTGGGGGTGCACGACGCGATAAATACAGCCTGGCATTGGGAAAAAGCGAGCATGTTCAACGTTTAAAAGTTAACGTCGTTTCGACCACTATCGCGTGTGTTTACGTAGAGCGAGACAGCGAAAGGAGCTACGCGTCGAGTTGAGAAAGGGTAAATCATTTCCACCCTCTTAGAGTTCTCCGACGAATGATTTCGTAACTATGTCAACCGACTACCGATCAATGGACTCGGACTCGGATTTGGATTTGGCAGAGTTGGTTTAAATCGAGAACGAATCGGTCCACGAGTCTCGGCCCGACGAGACTCTTCGATCATGGTTCTCATCATCGTTGACAGCTTTGATTCATTCTTCCATGCGATCGTCATCTTCGATACGTGTCATCGTGCTTGTTGAAAAAGTGCCGCTTCGAAAGGTTACCGGCGCGCGATAGATCCTTCAATCTTGTTGTTTCGTTTCAGCATCAGCGTATTGCAGATACCGAGGAGCGTGACGGAAGAGACAGTTTGACCTGTGGTTCACTCCGAAAGTTAGTTTAGCTATAAATACACCATCGAGTGCGATGCGTTCAACAACGGGGATCAAAGAAACAATACACCGGCTACACACGAGTGTCATCCTTTTTGTCGCACCATGTTTTCTACTCTCGCAGAATACGTTAACACGTAAGGGATAAAATGTCATTGCAACCTTAACCGATATCAAACTTACAGTCAATATGAAAGGGTGCGTTATGCGATTACCGGGACACGTTTGGACGCTATCATCGGCTAGGATTAACTGACGGCGAGGAGCGTAAACTACTATATAGGCTTTCGTAGTGGCTTGCTCGAGCTGAAAAGCGAAAATCGCGAAATCACCGATTCGATTGCACTCTGGAGTATTAACGATCGCGTGAACAGCGTCGGATGTGGTGCCTTATTTTAACGCGGTGTATAAATGGCCGCGAAACAGTAGAAAAATGCTCTTTTCGTTTGCCAAGCATAGAGCAGCGTTGACTCATTGCCTGGTAAATATATCTTCCGTGACCGATCGTTGTACTGCCACAAAATCTTTTGTACAGTGTGAATTTTACGAGTCAATGAAACGATTTTACGAACCATTAACCTAACCTTTTTCATTATCAGACAATGAGTGAGACTTTGCACGGCGCCACGATGACTTTGTGACGCTTGATCGATGTCCCTTCTATATGTAATATATATACCGGATTTTGATCGATTGTTGACAATTACGTGGAAGAATATCGGAACGTTAGTAATGTTATAATGCCACATTTGGTGTAGCGTTAGGAACGTTGTGATACGAATCGATTAGCACGAGTCACCAATATAGTAATCACAAACGTATATCAAGTCATCGGTTAACGTTTGATAGATATAACGTCGTTGAAACACTACCAACACGTAGACGAAACATTTCGAATGAAAGTGTAGGTTCCTTGTAGCTTCTACCGTACTGAATTTCACTTTTGGACCATCGACAAACGCTAGATCGGTGCACAGAAATCTCGGCTGACGAGAGAGATCCGCCATATACGATCGACGACATATTTGCCCGAGATATCTGATGAAGGTATCGCATCTACGATAATTCTGCCTCTGTGTTTTCCGATTTACCCGTAGGCCAACTTACATTTCAAGTTAAAGTTGTCGACTTTGTAAACACGTCTGAAAAAGTAAAAGCGGAAAAAGCAAAAAAATGGAAAAAAACCACGAGAAAACGAAGAAAAAAGAAAGAAGACATAGCGCTCGCCAAGGAGCAATTTCAAGACTGGACATGCCATTTGAATTACCATGTATTCAATCGTTATAGGAGAATTCTGAAAAGGGTTCACTAATTTTAGGCACTAGAGACGTAGGTCGATACGTGTTCTCTCGTAGAGACTGTTTAAATGTACAAATTAACTGGATAAATAGTGCTTGGTAGTGAGCTCTACGTCGCTTCAGAACCACGCTCGGTTTCATCTCGAGGGACTTGGTATAATTTTCGCAGCTTCGTCGCTCTCTTTTCGTCCAGAGGATTTTGCTTTCTTAGCTTTCTCCCCCGGTTGTTGCGTTCTTGTTGCGTCGGCCCCTTTACTTTCCAGTTTCGCCGTAGTACCAGTGTTCGCGTACCCCTCCGTTCATAATTTACGTTTCGATAGCGTATACGAAAAGGCGCTTTGTTTGTAGTCTGATAACCCGAAGAGGAGAATAGAGAAAGAATTTATCAAAATACTTCAAAGACTACGTGTGAATATACTTATAAGGCTCAACGTGTTGTATTACAAGATGCAGATTTATACAAGACTGTCGTGTTGTGTCTTTCTTGCCCCCTTGCCCCGACACGTTCCCCGACCGCGCAAGATACGCCAAGGGTTCTCGTAAACATAGTCCGTCGAGTTCCTAAAAAATTCATTTATTTAAGATTCGCCGCGAGGCGAACCATTGGCTCACAGAAGAGTCTTTGTACAGAGTGTTGTCCTTTTTTTTTTTTTTTTTTTATACAAAATATGACATACCTATCTTCTAATCTTTATGTATATATGTACCTGGCTGAAATGTCGTCTTCCGTTACATCGAAGTTCCAATCGGAAGACGAGCGCAAAGTAAGAATTAAATGACGGAGGTTAAAGTGCTGCTCCGGAGTTGCGCGACCACGAGCATAGATCGGAGAATAGATCGGTTCATCCCGTGTCGATTCACTTTCCGACCCGTTCACGTCGCCATGCGCGAGGAAACATTCGTTCCAAACTATCGACCGATTTTTCTCGGACACCCGGGAAAATTGGATCACTGTACAGCCGTTGCGTTTCAACGGGCATGGCATACAGGCGTGAACTTCGAATTAGGGCAGTCTATCTTTTGATTATGAGACGCAATCGTTGCTTCTTTTTGTCCTTTCGTATGAGTATTATTTACACGATTATACTTAGCGACTACGCGCCCCTCTCGGGCTCTCTCTATTTACAAACAATCGAGTATTATTTCAACTATCGATCGACCAACGCGACGATCGAAACGGCAAGTAACAGTCGTGTATCTGTCTTGGAGAAATATCGCGGAATCGCCTCTCTTTCGCGGGTCGTGCGTTCGAATGCGCGCTGCGCGCTAGGATTCTTGCGTAAGTACGAGAAAACGAGATTATCTACAAACGTTCGATTCGATTCTATAACTAGGCGCGTGAAAGAGGCGTTCGCTTATCACGAGGGATATTGGGAGGGGGTGGGGGGTGAGGGGAGAAAAAAAGAAAAGAAATTTGCACCTTGGCACCTTCGAGAATCCCGTCGAAGGTCAGTCAACTTAGAGTCTCTATTTTATACACACTGCACACTGGAATCACACGGAATCGAGTCTACGCTAAACACCCTCCACGCGATGAACTTTGATTAATACGTTGTCTAAAACGTCGCTCGCCATTTGTCGATCAACGTCATCGAATATACACACGACACCGATTGTCAAAGGATCGCGGGACTAATACTAAATACCTGACGCAACGTTGTCGACGATTTCGAGGTATCCTTAGATCCTCAACTCGGCGTCGGTGACCGGAATACCTCTATTGGCACTTTGACTGGACCTTTGGGTGGCCGGTGGCACCAAAGGACTGATACTAGGACTTCTGGTGGCGAGAGGAGACAAGGACGGGGAGAAGCTCGGACTAAGGGCCGCCGATGGGAAGGTGGAAGCGTCGTGACTGATCGGAGATCTCGGAAGGATGCCTCTGGCCAACGCGGGTGCCGCCAATGATCTAGGAGCAACGGAAGTGAGCAATGGTGGGGGCGGAGCTTTATGTACAGACTTGGTCTTGCCACTGCTCCCCGAGTTTCCGCTTTGAACACTGGCAGCGTCGTCTTTCAGCCTGGCGATCTCGCTAAATACGTGAGCAAGTGGTTGATAATGAGGACCCCAATCGAGCAGATAGTCCCAATTGTACGATCCCGTGAGCTCCTCCTCGCTGTGCACGATGGAACTCAAGGACCCGTTCATGGAAGGGCCTCCAGGAACTTCCAGACCCGACATCGGCCTCCCGGGTTCCCCGATTTTCCCGTAAATCAGGGTAGCGATGTCCGCTTCGGTCGCAGCCTCGTCCTCGAACAAGTGCAAGCTGTCGAGAGGCAGAGCTTCGGGCGGTCTTCTCGGGGTACCGGCTGGTGGATCGACGATACCCAGCCTGGCTAGATATTCCTGAGTATTGTGAACCGACAGATCGCTGGCAGAGTCTCCGGTCTGCTGACCTTCGTTGATCATTCGAATCTCTTCGTCCTCTCCGTCGTCTTCCGCGGAACCCCTACCGGAAGATCCGGACTGATCGCTGCCGGACAGTTCGGAAGTGGCCTGTTGCTGGCCGGATTGACCGGACGTGCCGTACGGCGGTATCTCGTCGTACTTTGGCGGCGCGAATTGGCAGGAGGCTGCGCCGCCACCGCCGTTTCCGTTTCCGGAACCTCCGTTCCCCGCTGTTCCAACCCCGGCGACGCTTCTGATCGGAATGGTGTCGAAGGCACTCGGATCCACGTAGCTGTTGGACGCAGTCGCATTGCTCTCACCGTTCAAACCCGGTTTCGTACCGGGTTTCTTGTGCCTTCGATTTCGAAGATGAAGGTACAGGAAGATGGCCCCGAACGCGACGACCAGGAGAAGCAAAGCGATCAGCAAGCCCAGCGCCCAATCGGCCAGGCCGCCAGTCGCAGCGACGGCCATGTTGGAACCAACGTCGGTCGGCGTGGCTAAAGCTGTGGCGCCTCTGGCTTCGTTCGCGTCGCTGTCGTCGGTCAGCGTGATCTCCACTACCGTCATGTTCGACAATGAGCCCTGTCTACCGGAACTAGCGCTCACAACCAATCTCGACGACTCCTCCACGTCCATGTCGATGTGCGCAAGCTTCTGTTTCACGATCAGCGCACCCGTGGTGCGATTCAACTTGAAATAGGGATGTTGAGAGGTCAACTGATAAACCACCCGTCCGTCCGGTCCTTTGTCTCGATCTGTCGCGGTCACGTGACCGATCACCGTGCCGAGAAGCACCTGAGCTCCGCTTCTGATGCCGAATCTGTACATCCTTTCGGTGAACTGCGGATAAAATTCGTCCCTCGATTCGATCTCCACTCTGACTCTGACAGCAGCCGTGCGACCACCCGTGTCGGTTGCTCGCAATGTAAACGCGTATCTGTTCCGCAGCTCGTAGTCGAAAACGGCGCGGGTCGTCACCGTGCCCGATTTCCCGTCCACGGCGAACAACTTCCAGCTGTCGTCGATGTCGGAGAACCCGGTTGCCGCTGCGGACACGATGGAGTAGTTCAACGATCCGAAGATACCGCGATCCAAGTCCGAGGCGCGCGCGGAGAAGACGGTGGTACCGATCGGTTCGTTCTCTCCCACGAACTCGAGGTATTCCGAGACCGGGAATTTCGGCGAGTTGTCGTTCACGTCCTCCAGGTGAATACGAAGCCGCGTCAACGCGCACAGAGGCGTGACCGGGTCGCTGTCGCACGCCATCACAACGAGATTGTGAATATCTGGCTCGAGGTCGCAGTCCAAGGTCGCGTTCACCAGCACCGCGCCGGTAGCCTTGTCCACGCGGAAGAGGCCACCGTCGTTGCCGGAAGTGATCTCGTATATCAAATTTGCGGCCGCGCTACCAATCAGATCGTCGTCTTTCGCTCGTAACGTGGCCACCGTGGTACCGCGAGCCGCGTTCTCTTTGATCGATACCTGATGAAGATCTTCCAAGAAACGAGGGTAATTGTCGTTTACGTCTTCCACCGTAATGATCACCGTAACGGGTTCGTCTCCTACCAGCGAACCGGTTGTCATGTTTTCGTTCTTAGAGCCTAGTCGTAAAACGTACCTGAAAGAGAATCGCATCGTTTATTAATAACGGAGCTAGGTATTCTCGCGCAAAGTTGTTTAGAATAGATAATCCTTACTTGTCCTTCGTTTCTCTATCGAACGGCTTGGAGAGAATCAATTTGCCTCTGGATATTTCGAACGTTCCACTGTCATCGCCAGCTACGATAGCGCCGTCCAACAGGTCTACGTCGGATAATCTCATCAGAGTGGTGCCCTTCAACGTGTTTTCCTTTACGGTGATCTTGTACTCTTTGCCGGGTAAGGTGCTCTTCAAGCTGCTCAATCGTACGACGACGGAGCATATGGACGACGCCGGTGGTTTGCCATAATCTTCCGCTACAATGGCCAACTCCACCTCTTTGGGCAAGGGTCTCGGTATCGCGGTACGATTAACCGTCAGAACACCGGTTACAGGATGCACCGAGAAACCTTTGGTAGCTTTCAGCAGATAATATCGCACTCGACTGTTGTCCTCCGTGAGGTCGTCGTCGGTCGCGTTCACCGTCAGAATTTCTTGCAAGTCCCCTCGTCCCTCTGCGTTACGGAAAGGCAGAGCAAGAAAAAAAAAAAAGAAAAAAAAGAGAAAATACAGCGAAGGTAAGAAACGGGGTTAACGAAAACGGTTGGAGCAAACCGTGCGAGCTTTTTTCTACGTATATACGAAGCGGGGCACAAAGATCGAGGGATCATGGGCGCGAGGTCAAGTACCCTCCACCTCTTTTTGTCGGAGGTACTACGTCCTCGAGCAGCACCACCGCCGCCACCACCACCAACAGTTCTTTCTTTTCTCGGTAAAGGAGGAGGATAAGCCGTCCTGACATCGGGCTGAACGGAAGTATGAAATAATAACCAGTTATATAAATCGCTCGGGCGAGCCGTGGGGCCAGCAGGATGGAGCCAGCTCCGCGGCTACAAAAATCATTTCGATGCGTTTCAAATCGTCGGATAACTCGGCATTAATGTGCCAAGCTCCGACCTAAAGCGAAAAAGGAAGACAAAGAGGGGGAGAGGAAGGCGGAGAGGAGGAGAGGCTGAAATAAAACTTGGCGAACGCGCAGCCCTTTGGGGATGTCCGAGGTGAGGAGGTGGTAGGACGACCTCGGAGGAAAGGGGATCTTAACCGAGAAGTGACAGGTACTCTATAATTATTGCGAGGTGCGTATGACCGTGGAGTATGCGTGTTCGCATCACGACGCCTTACAGTGGGACGAATTCTTATTACCGGCCGAGCTTTCTCCCTTCGTTTCGCTTCATTAATCCCTCCTTCTTTTCAGAATATATCCTACCTTCTCCGGACAGTTTAATACGATTTTGATAATCGCCAGATTAACCCGTCTTCCTTGTTCGCTTATCACGATATAAACGGTCCGCGCGACTCCTACCGGCAAACAGCGTGGGAGAGAAGGCGCGAGAGAGAGAGAGAGAGAGAGAGAGGGGGAGGGGGGTCGTAAGAAGAGCCAGGAAGAAGTTAGACCCGCGTCGTCTATTCGTGGTTCGTCCTTCCCGAGGGAGACGCGTTATCGATCCAGGGGCACGGAGAATTTTCGTTTCGGTCGAATGGCCGGTCAGGAATTTCCCACTCTATTCGCGAATCTACGCGCGGCGAGGCCGGAGAAGAAGACGAAAAGAAAGATGCAAATTCGCGGGGCAGTCGCCGTGGGAGCTCCCCCCCTTTCCCCTCTTTCCACGTCCCCCTCCTGCCAATCCAGCCTCCCCTGTCACCCCTCTACCGCCCACCCAAATGCACCATTAGGCGCGGGCCTATGTATTTTTAATAAGTTTCGAGAGTCTTCGAAGCCGGCGATCTCGGCCGGCGGTTGCAGCGAAGGCGGCTTTTCGGCTGCCTCGCAAACGGTGTCCTCGCGTTTATTTATGTGCGAGGCGTTCGCAATTCTCCTCGTCTCCCGTCCCCTCCCTCTCTCTCTCTCTCTCTCCTGCTTCTCCCGCCCCCTCTCGCCCGGTCCTTTTCATTCCTCTCCCTTATTCGCTCCCTCTCTCTATTCCCTCGCTGCTCCCTTCGGCGTTCGAGTAGCTAGCTTTTCATCGATACTCTCACCCACCCCCTCTCCTCCCCTTCCCTCGTCTCCTTCGCCACTCCGTCTCCTCCTTTCCCATCCCTCTTCCTCCGCCTCCTCCACCTCCTTCTATCGCTCCATTCGCTCTCTTCGCCTCTCTTTCCCGCGCTTTATCTTGGCGCGGTGTCAATTCGAGTTTGGAACACGGGCAACAAGACAACGTGTGTCTACTAAAAACCAGTTTTTAAACTCGCGTTTATTTCGCGCCGAGAGACTTGCCCCGGGCCATCGTCCCCCTCGACGTCTTCCTCCTCCCTTCCCTCGCTTCTACACTCACCCCTTTCGCCGCGACTTCTTCCACGGAATATCGATCGAATAGATTACCCCGGCTACGATCACTCTATCACCCCCCCTCCCTCTTGACCGCGATTTGATTTCGAAAAATCGCGATCGAGCCGTCGAACGGTCGCGACGATTACTTACCGGGCAGCGTGGCGATGTAAGCGGATTGCTGGAACCGCGGAGCGTTGTCGTTGAGATCCGTGACGCGGACTATCAGGTCCGTGGTCGCCTCGTGGATGCCGTCGCTAGCGATCACCTGTAGGCTGTACTCTGACCGCGTTTCGGCGTCCAGACGCCGTCGCAGCACGACCTTGCCTCCGTATCTATCGATGCTGAACGGACCCGGACTGGTCACGTTGCCGAATCGATAGGTGAGAGCCGGTGAACTGTCCACGTCGTTGGCCGTGATGGTGGTGAGCACGGTGCCAACCGCGGTACCTGCACGGAAATACCTGGTTAATACCACACCGAGCCGAGTTTCGCGCGAATCGGGAGCGCGGAGGGATAGGAGAACGCTCCGCTCCCGATGAACCGTTTAACCGCGACATCGAATGGCAGCCGGTTCATCGTCTGGTACAATGCCAGACACCGTTGTTACTGATGAATGGCGTCGTTATACGGGGCAACCGTTTCCCTTGCTCTTTTTATCCCCGTGGCCAGAGGCCACTTTGTCACCGACAGACGATCATTCGCGATACATATTTAGAGCGGTGTTGCGAGCGAGGCCTCGCTCTTCCGTGAAGTTAAAGACACTTCGAGGGAGTCGCGTTTAAAATGCATCGAATCCTTGCTTATCGGCTCCCTCTATCTCGCCGGTGCTAAGAAGAACGCTGAACGAAGATTCGGTCGGTGTATCGTAGGCGATAATCTCGAGCGTGCCGTGGGCAAATTATGAGCGCACAAAGGGAGAAAGAGAGAGAGAGAGAGCGAGAGAGAGAGGCATGTGCCACCGGTAACCGAATATCGGAATCAGCCACGAGAGAAAAATGGAGCGACTCGGCGGTACGGACGACTCGATCGAGTTATCGCTCGTCGAGGGTCAGCATGGGGTAGGAAGAATAGGGGTAGATGGCGCGACTGGGGCAACGCGACGCGACCGAGGGGATGAAAGAATTATTTCGCGACGGAGCGACGCTTCGAATGGCTCGGGGACTAGCTGGCACGCGGCACCGTTCGCTCGTAAATTTCACGGCTGATCGTTAAAGTCGCGTAAATCGGTTTCGAGAGCTGCCACGACCCCGAACGAACGCGTGGCTCGCGCGCTCTGCGCGCTCTGCTCCAGCGCCGGTAGTGTTCCTCCGTCGCGGAAGCCGAAACAAAGATCTCTCTATCAGGCCGCGTTCTCTCCCCTTCCACGGTTTTCCTCTCTTCTCCTCTCTTCGCCTCTCATCCACTCTCTTCTCGCCGGAGAGAATGCACTCCGGAGTACGTCGCGCGACGCGAAGAGCGGACAACCACCGGCGCGGTGAAACGGTCGGCCGCGAAATAATAAATTCGCGTCGGCTGCCCCACTCCATCTTCGTAAGTTATATCGCGGTAATTCTGATTACCGGAGGTCCTCGGTATTCGCGGATCGGCTGCGTAAATACGAATACGATGTCGGCGGTGTGCTCCTTGTACGGAAAATGCGCTCGTCGGTGGTCTACCATTGTTTCGATTTCTCGTGTCAGTGCCACTTTCGGAACCGATTCGATCGATGCTGTCGATTAAATCCTCCTTTGGATGCACACGTGTACGTGTGCAGCCGCGTACGTGTTCCCATCTAGCGGACGCGAAGGAAGGCCCTTCAGGAACAAAGGCGTGGGCTATCAAACATCGGCCAACCGCACCTCTCGTTTTAGGCCGAACGATAATTATATACGCCACGTTCGCCGGGATAATTAAAAACAATTATCGTGCGGTTCGCTAAAATATGAACGGGCCCAACTTCCAAATCGTTTTTCGTTACTGCCCGGTCCAACGAAATAATCGCGCGCTCCTTTCCGTCGAGCGTCTCGCGCGTTCCGCGCGGCGCGTCGCGCGAGCGTAGACCGAGAGCAGGCGTAAGGGGATCTAAATCGCGGGGCTTTCTACGATTGTTGAAAAAGATAAGTCGACGCCTTCGGCGGTGTAACAGTCTCTCGGAAAGGCTGGCTAGCTTCTGGACGTTCGCCACGTCGGCCGACCGAGGTATTAAATAAATTCTATCGAACGCTGCATCACGAGTAGGCCGAGGCAGTAGACTCGTTTGCACAGTGTTAAAGTTTTGCGCTGATTCAAATTAGATTGCGATCTCTCGTAAATTCTGCCGCCGTCTTCGAGAGTTGAACTTTGAGAGTCGGCGGGGAAGAAGAAAGACCAACGAGGACAAAAGGAACAGGGACGAGTAGAGGGGAAGAAAGGGGGGACGAAGCAAACGCGAAGTACGACGAGACCGACGAGATAGGGGGAAGAAGTTCGCGATGTAAATTGAACGCAGCGCGTTTAAATCCCGCGGTTCGAAGACGAGACAAAGCGCGGAGGAAAAATGGCGTCTCGCTTAGCTGCTGCGTGGGGCTCCGTCCCCCGTGAGAAGCCCTCGATCGATTACGTTTTCGGGTACTTTTGCTTATTAGTCCTTTTGGCAGATTTTCTCCCCCTCCTCGACGCGTCCCGAAGTTCTTTAACGTCTTCATCGCGTGCGCGAGGAAAAAGCGCGCTGCTCGAAAGGGGATGGTAGCCAGCTTCGCGCTGGCTGGCGCTTACGCGTCAAACTCTCGAGGCCACCTTTGCTCGGTGCCGTTCCATTGAATCGTATCTGTCAATGGGGAACAATATGAAAGCGAAGAGGACGAAGAGCGTGGAACAACGGAAAGAAGGGAGACCGCGAACTATCCGAACGGGCGTTCGCAGCCTCGCCTAAGTTATGCAGATTGTTCCGAACAGTTGGACTTTAATGCCGGCATAAATCCTTTGCCACTTAACTTTATACTTCGAGAGTAGTATGCACTCCCACCTCGGCTACCCGCGGTCCCTTCCTTTTTTTTTTTTTTTTTCTCCGTTGCTCTTGCTTTTCCCCCTTTCTTCGCGACCGTCTCCCTTTATCCTTCCCTCGGCCGTGTTCCCGCGGCTGTTTCGCGCGTCCCGCGCCATCCGCTCGGCTTTGCCGCGGGGAAACGTCTCTCTCCGCTTTCACCCGATCTCGATCCCGATCCCGATCCCGATCCCGATCCCGTCCGACAAAGTCCACCAAATTTCCAGCGAATTGAGACTAACGAATTCTCCGTAAAATCGAATCGTAAACAATTTACGACTCGAAACGAATCGGAAGATTTAATCTCTCCTTTCCAAAGAAATCTCGCTTATTCCAATTTATTAGATAATTAGGTTAAAAAACAAGGTCGTTATCGAGCGCCAGGCTGGTCGTGAAAGGACTAATTGCGAGCGACACAGCGCATTGAAATTAAGGAGGCGTACACGTATTTGCGTCTGCCCGTAATTTGTTCGCGCACGATCGCGAGCAGACGAGACTAATAATCATCGGTTAACCTTCGCCTCGACCGTACGCCGAGAAGAACAAACGCTGTAATTGAACTATACGACCGGCGTAATTAACTCGAGCATTTCGTTTCTAAGACTCGATGACATTTATATTCTACCTTTTAAGTAGCACCGCTGTGCCCCTGATCCTAATTTAACGTCGTTAATGATAATTAACATGGCTTACCTTCGGAAACCGAGATGATGCTGTGCTCCGGGAAGGTCGGTTGATTGTCGTTGATATCGATCACTCGGACGCTCAGGGCAGCCGTCCCGGTCAACTGAGGATTCCCTTGATCCGTCGCAATTATCGTCAACCTGTACTTCTCCCGAATCTCTCGATCGAGAACTATGTTCGTGCGAACGATACCGCTGTACGGCGGGCTGATGGTGAACGCGTTGTCCGGGTTCCCGTCCACGATGTGATACAGGATCCTGCTGTTCGTCCCTTGATCCGCGTCGCTGGCCGAAAGCTGTGCCAAAGCAACCCCCCGATATAGCACACGCGCGACGTTCAACCCTTCCGGTGGCAAAGATCCGGAATAATTATATCTTACCTTCACGACAAAGTCACCCTTCACGTTACCCTCCAGCACCGTCGCCGAGTACTGCGTCTGAGTGAAGATCGGCGGATTATCGTTCACGTCCGACACCTTCACCACGACCCTCGCGTAAGCCTCCAACGGATCCGGTCCACTGGTCCTGGCAGCCACGGTCAGCACGTGCTTCGAGCTGTCCCTGGGTTTCTCCTTCGACTGCTGCCCCTCCAACGACCTGCCCCACGAATTCGTTCGACCATCCTCCGTCTGTTCCTCCGTCGGTTTCACCCGCATGTCCGTCCACAGTTCCGCGTCCAGCCTCGACGGATCGTTGACGCGCAGCAGGCCGGTATCCTCGTCGATGGCGAACGTGCCGAAGTCGTTGCCCGATCCCAGGGAATAAGCTACGTGTTGTCGCCTACCGTCCGACCTGACTGCCGAGACCTGGATCACTTCGGTGCCAGCCGCGGAATTCTCCTGAATCACGACCTCGTACGACTCGTTCTGAAACTTCAACACGGGCGCCAAATCGGCCAGGTCTCCCACTTGCAGCTCGATCAACCCCCGAGCGCTTTTCGGCGGATTTCCCTTGTCCCTGGCCAACACCTCCAGGTGATAGGTCTTGCCGTTGTCCTGCGACAGGGACAACGCCGCGGTGACGGCGCCGGTGCTCGGGTGTATCCTGAACTTGGGCTTCTCTTGATCGTGCAGGAACGAGTAGACGATCTCGCCGTTTAGACCCTCGTCGACGTCGGTCGCCACTACTCGCAGGATGTTCTTCTCCGGTTGAGTACCGATCGACACGCGAGCACGGAAAGGGTACTCCTCGAAGACGGGGGCGTTGTCGTTCACGTCGCTCACTCGAATCTCGACGGGGATCGTGGTGGTCTTGGCGTCGTACTTGCCGCTGTCCGTGGCCACCACGACGAACGTGTACAGGCTCTGGCGTTCGCGGTCCAAGGGGCTGCGACAAAGAATCCGCATGCTCGCGATAATTATCGGAGTCTGGGTGACCAGGGGGGAGGGGGGAGGGCTTTGGACGATTCAGGAATCCAATGGAGGAAGGGAGAAGCGGGAAAGCTCGGTGCTCGTTAACGATAGGGGAAATAGGTTGGGATCGAAGGTGCTTTCCGCGCGCATCAGCCGCATCTTCGATTCTGACTTGCCGGTCAATAGACGATTGTTCGAATCGGGGGAACGGGCCGGATTTAAGGCGGAAGGTGGCGCGGCGCGGCGTAGCGCGACGGCGGGTAGCTTGTTTGTGTGACGGAAGCCTTAATCGCGCACAGCGATCTTGTGTAATCCACGTCCGCCATTACCATAACTCTGCGGATCCTCCACGGCGGCTCGCTGGCCGCCGTTTCGTGTCTTAAATCGCACGAAAGCCGGGGGAGGTTGGCTGCTTTTTCGCCGTTGCCACCGAGCGAATTTAGCGTCCTCGTCCCCGTGAGCTATACTCCCGGTGAAATCGCTATATCGACTCTGCGTCCCGACTCTCTCCCCCTTCTTTTCCGGATTTCTACGTCTCCCCCGGCTCGATAGTTCCCCGCGTTTTTAAACGCCTTTTCCTCTTTGGCCGGCTTTCGCCGCTATCTGCTATCCGCGCGCGGTATCCCGCTTTCCTGCTCCAACACATTCGCGAGACCGTGCGCGGCGGCGCAACGTCTTTATCGCGCGTGTTAATTCTAATCTAATTATACCATCGTGGCAAATTTTTCGCTCGGCTCACGACCGCGAATGCATAATTTGCTGCGATCGAAAGTGGCCGTTTAACGAGTAACATTCAATTGCCGGCCGATTTTTGCCAGCATTCCGGTCAGATAGGGCCGATAACGCGAGTCGGTGGTAATTTATCGTATGGCTGGACTTTGTCTTTATTAGCCGCTACGAAAAGTCACGCGAACCCCGCGGATTCGCGAGCGGCCGATAAGCAACACCGGTACCCGACAATGTCTCCTGCGCGACGTATGCACTGCCTGCTTGGTACGCGCACGTAATAACCTTTAACGAGCGTGGAATAATAATCGAGCGCCGGTAGCGCGCAAAATCGACGCGGTTATTTACGATTTAACCGAGCGCAGCGCCAGTTGCACTCGAGTGTCGCGCGATTACACGAGCTTGTCTATTTTTCTTTCCACCGTCGGAGATACGAGATAACGTTCCTCGAACGGCTTCCAGTCGAAAATCATCGTCCCCGTTGGCACGATCGCGTCTCGCGTTCGCTCGCCATCCGTGGCAACCGCAGTCGTACCGCTACGATTCGAGTAATCGCCGCGTTATCGATACCGAATCGTCCTTGCTGTCGAAGTCGCTTATCGAACCGATCTCTTCCGGGTGGTCCTGAGAACGAACACGGGCAGAAGGTTGATACACCTACCCGTAGCGAAGCGGCGGCAAACGCCGGTCGGATTCGCCGAGCTAACAGCAATAGCAACGATACCAACGACAACGCGACACAACCACGCGGACTGTGGCTACCGATCGGGAAGAGAAACGAGCAGCAGCAGCAGCAGCAGCCAGCAGCAGCCAGGAGTGGCCAGCAGCAGTCGCAGTAGTCGCAGTAGTCGCAGTAGTCGCAGCGGTCGCAGCAACGGCAGTGGCGGAGCAAAGGACGAAGAGCAGCAGCAGCCAGCAGCAGCCAGGAGCGGCCAGCAGCAGTCGCAGTAGTCGCAGTAGTCGCAGCGGTCGCAGCAACGGCAGTGGCGGAGCAAAGGACGAAGGAAGAAAGTTCGGTGGAGGAAGTGGTGGGAGGAGAAAGGGACGGAGAAAGAGAGTCGCAGACAGAGATCGCGAAAGAGTGGCCCGACCGGGATCTGGTTTTGCATATCAGGCTTTTTGCCGGCTGAAATAATGCATTGAAATGCCACATGGTGTCCCGCTGAAATGACACACGGCTGTCGCGCGGCAAAAGTACGCTCCTGCGTGCCTCCTCCCGACTACCGACACCCTTCGTCCTATAGATCTCCCTATTTCTCGGCTCGCTGCTCCTTTGCCCTTCCTTTTTTTCTTCCCTCGCCTCGTCCCTTCGCTGCCGATCCTACGCGCTCCCTCGTCGCGTCTTTATCCCGGGTACGGGGTCGGATACCGTTCCACCGTTCGTTCACCGAAGGATCGAAGCAACGACAGGATGCGGAGTAGTTGGCCGTCGACTCGGCGTGTACGCGAAAGGCTAACCGGGGCACGTAAACGGAAGAAGAGCTCGACTCGGCTCGACTAGGCTCGACTAGGCTCGACTCGACGAGAAAGTAACGAGAAATTAACGAGAAGATTAGAGCGGCGACGAGGTCAGAGTTCGTGGGACTCGGCGCAAAATTGTCTATTAATTAGCCAAGTTCGGCCTTGATAGGACGGAAGCCTCGGAAGGGGCTAGGAGTTTAACGACGTCTCGCGATACGGGTTTATTGCGCGCATAATCGCAAAGGACACGGCAGAGAAGGACGCGGAGGGAGCAGCGGACGAAGAAACGAGACGAGAGAAGGAAGAACACGTTGATCCGTGCCGACGGGTTATGCATATGGAATCGACTAATCGACCACAGTGCATCGTTCGCGAGGCGCATCGACTGACTTTATAATTTTACGACGTTCCTAGACCCTCCACCTCCTTTCATCTCCACCACCACCTCCTCGTCCGATGCTTTTTTCCATTTCTTTATCTTACCCGCTCCTCCCATGCGTCTACTTCTCGTTTTATGATGCCATAGCACCGGCGTAATATCCCACCGGCGATCCTAATCGGACGCGCAATAAAGGTCGCGCGGTAATTAACGCCAGAATGAAAATTAGTTTGCCGGCATAGCTCGCGAGAGAAACAACCCACTGTGGGAGAGGAGAGCAGTCCCGGGGAGCTGCGGGTGAGGCCAGATAAGCCCAGTGAGAAAATCGTGTCCGGGAGGGAACCGAATGAAAAGAAGAAGAGAAGGAAAAAACGGAGGAACAAAAAAGACGTCTGGGGTACTCACCCGGCGGTTGTAACGACGCCCGTTAGGTTGTCAACCCTGAACAGCCAGCTCGTCTCCTCGCCGATGGTGTATGTGATCTTTCCGTTCACCCCCTGGTCGGGGTCCGTCGCTCTCACGGACATCACGTTAGAATCCGGCGCCACGTCCTCGGAAACGGTCGCCACGTACTTGCTGGGATTATAATTCGTCGGATAATTGGAGGATCCGTAGGAGAAGCCATTGGACAGGGAGAATCCGGGATACTCCGAGCTCGGGACGGGACCTCGTGGCCTCGACTCGGTGTACTGATTTTGAACGAACGTGGGAGCATTGTCGTTCACGTCCAGCACGATCACGGTCAAGTTGCATCGTGCCTCCAAGCTGGGTCGACCCTTGTCCTTGGCTGAAATCGTCAGGATGTACTTGGTCACCGCTTCCCGATCCAGATTCGACATGGACAGCATTCCGGTCACCGGGTCCAGGGCGAACTTTGCGCCGATGTTGCCACCTGGAACGGGAGAGGAGTTAGGGTTAGATCGAAGCGATCCGATGGCGTACCACGGCACGAAACGGGGCGCGTTAATCGCAACATCGGAGTGCAACTTACCAACGATGCTGTAATAAATTTCCCCGTTCTTTCCCTCGTCGAGATCAGCCGCGGCGACCGTGTGAATCACCGAGGTTCCCTGATTCTCGGGAACGGCGAGCGTGTAGCACGAACCCGGTCGAAATTCGGGGCTGTTGTCGTTTTCGTCCATGACTACAACCTCGAGCGTGCTAATGTCCAACAGCTTGCTGGACCTGGCTAGAATCGGCACGGAGTAGCGGGAGGCTTCCTCGCGATTCAGCGGGCCGCGCAGAGTGACCAGACCGTTCGGCGTAACGGAGAACTTGTCCGAGGCCAAGTTGCTCGGGATGCTGAAGCTGACGTTACCTGCGCGATCGTACCAAGAACCTTTATGTCAGCGCGTCCACACCGAGCAAATAAAGGGAACGGCATTACCGAAAGTTACGCGAAGGCGAATCGCGAGTAGCCTGCGTGTGGAGAAATTAGAACCACGCGACCGGGACCCGGTTTCCTCGCAGGATCGTTATCCTGTCGCGTCCTCCCCGCAAATCCGAAATTATCGGTCAGTTTGCATACGTAAATGCGTGGCTTTAGAGCGAAATCGGGCGAGTCCGTTGGCCGAAGATCGACGCGTAGCGCGACGCGGCAGCTGCGTAAATTCTCGAAAATATACCGGGCGAAATTCGATTCGCGAAATAGCTTTGTTTTCTCCCGACTGCGTCTCAGGCCCGGCAGGTTCGGACGGAAACGAACGCGGGAACGGAGAAAGAGGGAGGGGCCCGAATAAAGGATCTTCGGCCAGATGCAATTATACAGTTGGTGTAGAAAGAAGGACATCATCGGCTCGATGGGTGGTTACCGTCTGCCGATCCTTGACATGTTACGATCGCGAAACTACGGGATACGACACTTGAAAATTTACACGGGAGAAAAATCGTGCGGCACGAAATTTGGGTGGGCCAGGGACTCGGGGGGCCGGCTCGCGAATTGCGCGCGCAGGAGGAACATTCGCGATCCTTGTTTTTATCTCGAAGAGTGACGTTTTCCGGCGGAAAACGACCTGCCTGCAGTTCGACGCGTTCGATTCTCGAATTCCGAAGGACGACGCGCGTTCGCCTGTCATGACAGTACTACGTTTAACGGGCATGGAACAAAGAGTTTGCGATATCTCTCCCATTCTCTCTCTCTCTCTCTCTGATTCCCTTTGGTATCGCGAACGTGGCCGAGAGAGCGTTTGGCCAGGGTCTCGCGTGTATTCCATGGTCGTAGACGCAACGGAACGGTAGTTACGGTGGACGACACGCACACGCTCGTGCGGCGCGTACGATGGTGGTGTCGGTGTTGGTTGGAACCGGTGATTTGCCTATGCGTACCGCGGCAGGCTGGCGGCACGATGATATACGCGGCCATTGTTTCGCCCCGTCCCCTTCTCGTTCTCCCTTTTCATCCGCCCTTCCCGCTGCGATGCGGCGCGGTGGCTCGCTAGCGGTTCCCGGACCCCTAGCAGCAGGCTCGTCCTTCGGGGTATCGCATAGGGACGCGGACCCCTTTGCCGGTTCTGCGGGTCGCGCTAATGCGCTCGTCTGATACACGGGCGCCGGTCTAGATAAGCGCAAAACGAGCGATATACCGTGTTGTCGGCCGTACAGAATGCTTTGCTACGAGGCCGAGAACACGGGCATTTTCTTGCGCGCGCTTTTAGTAATCATCGTGTTCGTGTTCCGTTCCGTTCCGTTTGCTTTACGGCACACGACCGACGTTCCCGCGGTGAACGTCCATCGAAATCGTTCCGGTCCGTGAGAAATCGTGGCCGGTGACGAATGCCGAACGTCGTGCGACAAAATTTTCTCGTCCGCGGAATTCTTTCCGCAGCTTTTACGCGCGACGACGAGCAGCGATGCTCGCGAAGAGAGAAACGGAGAGAGGAACAGAGAGAGAGCGAGAGTATTAAGCATGGCGCGAACACGCACACGCACGAGGATGGAACGCACGAGCACTCTCTCGACCAGGAGGGAGCCGGGCCGCCGCGAGTCATTTCGCTGAATTTACTATAATGCCCCGTGCCGGCCGGATTCAAGGCAATTATTCGAGGTATTTTCATAGCAGGGCTTTCCTATTAGCAGGACTGGGTATTCGCCGTGGCTCCACTCCGATTATATACCCTTCTCGCGGTCGACCAGTGTAGGTGGCGCATAACCGCGCGAATGCCGCCGCGCGGCGACAGCCAAACTCGAAAACCCATGAAGCAGAACGGGGATAGGAGAAGGGATAGGTGGTGGGACAGAAGGTGGGATAGGAGAAGGGAGAGAGAGAGAGAGAGAGAGAGAGAGAGGGATGCGGTAGAAGGGAGACAAGATAGGAGAATGTAATTTCACCTTCTGTTGGTACGGCGAGCGCTAAATTGACAGCCCCTCCTGTTCCGTGGCACTTTATGCAGCGACGCACCACCGAAACAATAAGGACGCTCGCGGAGCACCTAAAAGGGTAGCCGCGGGAGCCCCATTTTTGGTGCTACGTCCTACGTCCTTGTCGCGGGACGACGGTGTATGCGTGTGCACGCGGAGGAGATCGATAAGTTCCGAGCCAGCCGAGTTCGGCTTTGTCCCCTTCGCATTATCCTTGCAAGCGTTAACCGAATATACCGCGGCTCTATCTGATCTCATCTTCGCGCGAGTGATACACGAGCATCGGCGGATATTTATCAATAAACTGACCGGTTGTAAATCCAACGCGAGTTTTATCTCGCGTATTTAGCGGGGATAAAATGGAATCGGGAATCGGGAATCGGGAATCGCGATCTTGACGATGGCGCGCGTGCGCGCGCGCTCCAGCCTTCGACCGCGTGTACGATAAACCCTTGTGTTTGAGAGAGAGACGGCGGTGAAACGCTTACCCTGATCGGCGATGATAGGACCGGCGACGTTTAGAACCGGCGCTCCAACCTGGAGGTCCTCTGAAATTCTAGCTACAGGGTTGGCCAGCAGTAGCCGAGGAGGTCCGTTGGTCTGTCCAGAAGCCAACGTCAGAATCAGCTTGAGAGTGGACTTGCGCGGTGGGGAACCGTGATCGTTCGCCGTAATCTCGAGCTCGGTCGACCTCACCATCGGCCTCTCCAGGCTCACTATACCGGACTCGTAACCCACCGAGAATCTCGCCTCCTCGTTCGCCGATGTAATCACGTACGATACACGGCCATTGTCACCTGCGTCTTTATCCACGGCGACCACTCTCACGAGCGTCGCCCCTGCAACGATGCCAATTTACGATAATGCTGCTTTGTAATTGAATTGCCCCGTCTCGCCGCGCACCTCTAACGCGCGCGCGCGCCGATCTCGACGCGTTTAAAATCCTCGATTAAATCCTCGTCGCTGTTATCTCGAGCGAGCGAGCGAGCGAGCGAGCGGGTCAGAGAGAAGAGCCTCGCAGCGGTCAACTACGAGTCACTCACCTGGCAAGAGATCCGGCGTGATGGCGACTTTGGTCGATTCCGGAGCAACGAAAACCGGGTCGTTGTCGTTCTGGTCCAACACGATGATCCTGGCGGTCACGGTCGAGGCTAATTGTTCGCCGGGTGGAGCACGGTCGGACGCCTTGAGGATCAACGTGTACTCGGCTCGTTCCTCCCTGTCGAGCGGCCTGGCCAAGGTGAGAGCGCCGGTCAACGAGTCGACCGCGAAACTGCCTCTGGATGGAAATTCGGCCACCAGACCGTATCGAAGGTCGCCGTTTAAACCGCTGTCGAGATCGATGGCCGTCAAATTGTAAATGGTGGAACCGATCACCGCCCTCTCCGAGACGCGCACCGTTATCGGATCCTGCGGCCATCGGGGCGGATTGTCGTTCGCGTCCTCGATCACGATCTTCACGGAGACGGCGATGCTTTGAGGGTTGCCGATCGACGTGGTGTCCAACGCGCGAATCTCTAGATGGTATTCGCTGACGTTCTCGCGGTCGAGGGAATGGGCGACCACCAGCTGGCCGGAGCTACGATCCACGTCAAACGCTGGAAACTCGCTGATGGGCGTCAGGGAATCCAAGGTGAAGGCCACGCGACCCGCGGGGCCCGCCCCCGACACCGAGCCCACCGCTTGTCCGATGCTGGCGTCCTCGCGTACCTAAACGAATCGAGTTACGCGATTTTTTCCTAATTAGCCGGATCGTAAAAGCCGGAGCAATAGTTTGATTTCGATTTAAAGTGCCCGGTTAAAATTTATCCCGTTCCTCGTAATTAACTTTTTACCGTGTCGCAAAAGAGCAGTGGACGTTCGAACGCCCTCGAACGCGTAGAGAGCGCGCGCGCATCCCAGGGGATGCATTATCAGACGCGATGCTCGTAAATCGCGCGAAAAATCCGAATGAATTGACGAGTGAACGAAAGTTGCGCGGTGTGGTGGTGGCGAGGTCGATGATACTCACGTTAAAGGTAAGGCTGCTGCTGGTGAAGGTCGGCCGGTTATCCGCGAGCGCTAAAACCTCGACTCTTAACGCGCGTATGCTGTGCCGGGGTGGTCGGCCTGCATCCGTCGCCTTTACGGACACCCGGTACACGTTTCGTTCCTCGTGATCGAGAACCGCCTTCGTTCTGATCATGCCGGTGATCGGGTCAATGGTGAAAACGTTGTAACCATCCGAGTCTCGGTCTGCGGAGATCAAGGTTAGTCGTGAGAGTAGGATAATCGACGCGGTCAAAAACTCGCGTGATCTCGCCAATGGGAAGAACGAGCAACGTTAAGACACCATTAAGGAAATAGCAATACTACGGCTATTCAAACTTGTTAAGCATGCATCCGACTGGCTAAAGGGTCGAAACCACTCGTAAATGCTCTTGAGAAAATCGGGTGCCAATCCTAACGAGAGCGTATAAACATAACCGTTCGAGTTCCTCTTTAAGACCGTGCATAATTCTTTCGGTAATTGGATAACTAATTTCTGCCAACGCTTTCGTTCCTTTTTCCACTTCCATTCGACCCGTCCCCTTCTTCCATCGCGGAGGACGTTACCTTTCAGAATCGTATAGGTTACGGACGCATTTTCGCCGAGGTCGGTGTCCAACGCCCTGACCCTCGCTACTTCCGTCCCCGGGGGTTGTTCCTCCCTCACGCTCACAACGTCTCCCTGCGGATCCACGATTTCGGGCGAGTTGTCGTTCACGTCCAGTACCATCACCTTCAACGGTACCCTGGCCGCCCTGGACGGGGTTCCTTGGTCTCTAGCCTCGAGAACCAGCTCGTGCACACCCTTCGTTTCCCGATCGAGCGGCTCTCTCGTCGTGATTTCACCTGCGAACATCGTCAACCGATGAAAATTCCTCCAATCGCTTTCCCGCCACTCGGACGATTCTCGCGATCGGTGAAATCGTTCACCGTATATTCAGCCAATCGGCTCCCCTGCATTTCGCGGCTAACATTCGCGACTAGACATTCGCGGATCTTTACGACTCGCAATTCAGCGCAACTGAAAAGCTTCGAAACGCTCGCGTTCGATCGGTCGATCCCGAGGATCGTGCGAGGAAACCGACCTTATCAATTTCCCCGGACGGGAACGGTTAATTGGATAATCGTTGTTCGTACACAGCGAGAAACGTCCGGTTCGAACGCTCGAATTCCTCGCTCGCGCCTCGACACACCGACGGCTATCGCATTTCCTTTCCGTCCTCCTCTCGCATATTATAATCGTACCGCAGATGCGTACACAGTCGCGCGTGTAACGAGCCCCGCTGTAATTACGTATCTCGCGGTGCAGACGGTCCGCAAAAGTCGTCAAGAGTACGAGTGCTGGAGGAAGAGGAGGAGGAGGAGGAGGAGGAGGTGGTGCAGGAGGTGCAGGAGGGAAGAGGGCGAAGAGAAAGGAGATGAAGGAGGAGGAGGAGGAGGAGGAGGCGGAGGAGGAGGAGAAGCGAAAAAGAAAAGAAAAGAGAGAAAAAGCGTAAGAAGGAGAAGAGGCAGTTGGAGCTGTCTTCTCGACCGGTCGGTGCATTAATGGGTAATTAAGCAAGCGCCTAGCCGACCGAGCAGAACTATTCCGAGAGACGTGGAAAGGGATCGGGATAATAATTCGTATAGAGGGTCGAAGGAGGGGCGTCGGTGTTCGGCGGGACACACGAGACACCCGCGTGCCTCTACGAATTCTCGACGTACCTAGTCCAGTCCGACGCGTCCTCCTCGCGTCTACCAGCGCCGGCAGAGGCCCGTCGACGCGGCTGTGCTCGTCGTCGAGAGAAGACAAACGATCGACGAGGAACATGCAAACGCGCCGGCATCGAGGGATACCATCGCGGAACAATAAGAAGTATATCGTAGGACGCGTGCTAATGCGTTTCTCGTGTTAACCGTGGGACCGTGCGACGAACTTCTCTTCGTCCCCTTCGGGGACCGGCTCTCTTTCCGTTCCCGCGCGTCTCTTCCAATATTTGGAAATCCATGCTCGTCCGAGACCGCGTTAGGAAAACTCGTTCCGCGCCGCTACGATCAACATCGGCCGATTTCTCGGAAACTGCGAACCGCTCGTACCGAGCCGAGCGGGGTAGCAACCCCCTGTAAATCGACGATGGCGCGCGCGTATAGTAGGTACATGTTTCCGAACCGAAGATTAATATAGAAGTACCGGCACGACGGGACAACTGATACTTCCGGCAGCGCGAGGGCCTTTATTTTTATTTCCCTGTGCCGAAGCTTGGCGCTGAGATGACGCTGGAGAAGTCCCTCCTCTGCAAACAGGCAGCCGAGCGACCGGCGAGACTTCTCTCGTGGATACGAGAGGAAGAGACCGGCCTGGTCTCGAAGCAGCATGTACACAAATACTCTCGTGTCGCATGCCAATCAAAGCACGTATGCGCGTAGCATACGAGAGGCAGCGTGCGTGCTGGTTTCGCGGTGTGTGCTGAACCCGGGCCCTTTCTGGTGATTCGTTACACGCCGGCAAGGTGAAAGCACCACTCTTACGGGATTATACTTTGATATCCACGAAGCAGGGGAGATGTTACAAAAACGAAATAATCGCGCCACTGTTCGTATCTCCGATATTGCGTTGTATGGTCCTCCAATTAAAAGCATTCGTATCAAAAATAAATTTACGCTCCTCCGCTTCTTTTTCTTCCTTTCGACCGCTATAAATCTTGAGCGCGCGCCAAAGCCGAGACGCGCGTCCGCCAGAACGAACGACAGAGCTTTGTGCGCACCGTGGAAGCCGATTTCATTAAGCGTTTTCGAGGACTTACGAAACCGCGCAGGAAGATCTATCGCGTCGTTTCAGGCCGCTTCCAAAGGCTTGCACAATCGTGCACGGAACCGCTGTTTAACAATGGTACGCAACATCAAGGGCCGTTGCCGAGTTGACGCAAGAGCAACGGGTAAATTAACACAGCGTCGACGGCTGAGGGCTATTTAGAAAATTAATCGCTTCTTTCTCCCTTTTCCTCCCGCCTTGCACAACCGTCCGTTCGAATTCAATTCGTATACGTCATATTTTTTTCTCCTTCTTCTTCTTCTTCTTCTTCTTCCTCTTCTTTTCTTTTTCCCTCCTCCTTCTCCCTCCTCGCCGGAGAACTAGACGCGTCGCGTAAATTCCTCTACCGAACTCGGTCGGCCACTCGGTCGCGAAGCGGAACGTCGAGCGGTGAATCTCGAACGCTCGTGTTCCCCAGCTGCGCCCGATGTCCCGGACGGTGTTAATCTCGACGAGATTCGAAGGTAGGCAAAGAGGATTCGCTAATATTTTTCTGCTCGCCTCGAGTCGCGTGGGATCTCTCTTTGCGCGTCGGTCGTCCCGAGTCGTCGTCCTAGTGTTCCCGGACAGCTTTCGTAAACACTCGAGCGTCGGACGTCGACGACGAACACCGTAGCAGGTAGAGATCCCGGGCTTGTCTCGCCGACGAGCGAGCACACCGGTTGACATCGGTCATGGCAAACAGAGGAAGAAAGTCGACGAGAAGAAGAAAAAGGTGGAGAAAAAACTGAAAGACTATTCGTACCTGTATCAGGGTCGACGGTGAAACTGCTGTTGGCCTGGACCACCGCGTACCTGAGCAGGGCGTTCTTGCCGAGATCGGGATCGGAGGCGCTCACGGATCCGACCAGCGTACCCGAGGGCAGGTTCTCCAGCAGCTCGAATCCGTAAAAGTCCTTCTCGAAGCGGGGGTCGTTGTCGTTGTCGTCGAGCACCGTGACCAGCACGGAAGCACAGGCGGTCGCGGCCGGAGAACCGTTGTCGGTCGCGAGAACCGTCAGCGCGTGCCGATCCAGGGTCTCGCGATCGAGGATCTGCGCGAGATAAATCCAGCCGGTGTTCGGACTGATCCGGAAGGCCGTGGATCCTTGGAGACGGTAACTCAACCTCGCGTTATTGCCCGTATCAAGGTCCACCGCGGTCACCTGAAGAATCTGTCGGGGCAGGAACGAGCGGTTTTACGAGCGCGTTTTTAGCCGCGTCGATACGGAACGGAAAAACGAGTACGACAATTACGATACTACTTTCCTGGCCTCTCTCGTCGGCCGCTAAAAGATAGGGTGAGATAGAGGGGGAAGGCCGGGTAGGTGGGGTAAATCTGAATTTCTGCGATGTAAACGTTTCTCGGGGAGGCGAAAAAAAGCCGGGCAGAGAGATGGATGAAAAAGAAGGCGGCGGAGGGAGAAAGAGGCGGCGAGGAGACAAGACCAGTCGATCCGGTCGTTCCGTATTAATTAAACGCAGCCAAAGACCGCGAACCCTAAATGCGTTCGAACCGGTCGATGTTTTCCAGCGCGGGAGGATCGTGAATTACGGAGGTCGAAGAAGAAGAAGAAGAAGCATAGGATCAAGGGTATATAAGTTCGTATCCCGTGCACGAAGCCGTGGCGCACGGGCAATGATGGATGGCGAGCAAAGGGAGAGAAGGCGACGAGCGCGAAGGGCGAGGATGGGACGAGGATAGAAGCGATCGGTGCTGGTCCCCGGCGCGAAGAAGGAAGGAAGAAGGACGAAAGACGGTGGCGGCACAGAGGGAGGAAGAGTAGAGATCGGGCACCATTAGAAGGAGAACCTGACGTGGGAGCAGGCAGTAATGTGTCTAACTGTACGTTATTAGTTCGCGGCGGGTGAAGGGTTACGCTCACTGTAGCCAGGTTACTCTTGCTAGCTGCTGCTTTCCCCCTCGTCGCCCCTCGTCGTTCCCTCCTCGTCTCTCTGCCGGTCGCGGCTAAGATATTGTCTGGATACCACCGACAGCTCACAGATCTGTTTCGCCGATAGATACCACCGATATATACGTGTACGCCGGGAGAAAGATGGAACGAGAGATCGAATGGCGAAGCAGGAAAGAAAGAGGAAGAGAGGAGGAACGTGCACGCGGTTCTCGTCGTCCCCGTTCTATCCTATACCCTCGTGTATCCGTTGTATTAAAAATGTGACGTCATTTAACGGGCCTATCTCGCGGCAACCATCTCTCGGCCATTCGTCATCGGTATCCTCGTATTCGGGATTACGTCCACCGGTGGCTACCACCGCGAGGAATCGCTGTTCGTCGCTCGTTCCACGACTAGATATCGCGCTGCTGCTCGAATGACGAACGTGTTCTCGTGCGCGCAACAGCTAATGCCTCTTTCCCGACTGCTTCCTACTCTGTCTTTGTCCGTGTCGTATTTAGAGAAAGGCCATCCACGCTCCGACTCTGTCCATCCAAGACGAACGCGAACCGACGCGACGCGACGCGCGAGATCCTATCCGTTCGACCATTGTACCAATAATTAGACGCAACCTTTGTACCCGCTTACGTTCCACCGATCTGTCCCGAAACAAACGATCGTTTCCTCGACGACGGACCGAGACCGCGGTTCGACGTCTCCGCGAGTCTGACGCCCGACACACAACCGAACGTTTCATGCGACGGAGAAGAATTTCGTTCCGAGTCTACCGGTAATGGTGTTTAACCACGATAAATAACCCTTTCAGGCAGGATAACCAGCATGGCCTGTTCATAAAACGAGCAGCTGCGCGCCGCGTTTCTGTTAAGCCTATCAACGATTACCTATCAATCCCGTGTGTATTCCGGCTCCATAGAGAGCCGCAACGCGTATACATACGTGCACGCACACGTGCGTACAGAAATATACGTATATGTAATATTCCACGGTATGCGCGTATGTATATATCGCGCACAACAACGTACCGCGTTCCTGTATCGAGCCATCGGTTATACTCTATCAATCCTTCCACCGAACTGGCCTGTCTAGCAACCTCGCAATCCGCATCACTAATCTTTCGCGCGCTCCGGCGTTCAGCTAATTCGTTTCTGTTCTCCGCTGACAAGGTGAACTCGATGAGTCAACGTCTTCTTCTTCCACTCTATTCGCCGTGTCTAATCGGCAGGGAACGAAAATGGAGGAGGGGCGAAAGGAGGAGACGATCATCGATCCGAGTGGGAAGCGAAGGTTCAGCGCGGATGGTCTTCCTGGTTTGTCCCGCCGGATGAAATTACGCTTCGCGAAGACGAATTTGTAAAACGAAAAAGAACGTGGAACGAGGACGCGGAGGAACGCCGGAGAAAGGTTGTTAAATCTCTCGTCTCCTTTTTCCATTCCGTCTCCGTCTCTCTCTCTCTCTCTCTCTCTCTCTCTCTCTCTCTCTCTCTCTGTCGATCCAGAATTTCTCTCTCCCACCCTCCCTATTCTTTCTCCGTTCCGTGCATTTCCATGTACACCGCGGTGCACCGCCTCGCTCCCTTCCGCGAAAGGGAATCCTACCGCACGTCTCCTCGACAAACAAATGCCCGCGTGACGGGCGTGTAATGAAGATTTTTCTCACTTGAGAATCGAGCTTGGCGCCTTCGGGAACCTCCACGTGATACTCGTTCCTCTCGAACACTGGGGGGTTGTCATTCACGTCCTGCACCTCGACGCTCAGGCTGAGGTTCGCGGAGAGGCCGGCACCGTCCAGCGCTCTTATCAGAAGACCGTGCCGTTGCTGAGTCTCGTAATCCAATCTCCTCGCTAAATAGAGCTCTCCGGAACGGGCGTCTATTCCGAACAGGTCGTTGCTGTTCTGGCCAAGGACATAGCGTATCGGGTGCGAGGGCACGATGTCCGGATCGGTCGCGTGTGCCACGTAAAGCGCCGTGTGAAGGGGATGCGATTCCGGGACGGAAATGCGGACGCTCGTGGTCGGAAAGGTCGGCGGGTTGTCGTTCACGTCCTCCACGTTCAACTCCACCTACGATGAGAAAACGGATGCCGCGCGATCAGTGGCGTATCGCCGCGACGACGATGACGACGATGAGGAGGATAGTCACCTGACAGTAGCCCACGGAGATTCCATTGCGTGCCTCGACACTGAGGATGTACTTGTCCCTGGTTTCTCGATCCAATGGAAGGCGAATTCGAATCATGCCCGTGTTGGAATCCATCGTTAGATCCGGTTCTTCCTTCGCCAAATAAAATCTGGTTGGCCGTTCACCTGCGAACACAGTTATTATCGTTGTTAAATGGCTACAAAGTGGCTTTTTCTTATACTTTTCTTTTAAGTAATGATCGTTTTAAGAGCGAGCGTCGGAAGCTTGACTCTTTGATGGAGGAGAAAGGGCTGCGATGGGCGATGCAAACCTCGTATTAATTTTTTTTCCTCGACCTTAGCGAACGAAGAGTTCGTTCGTTTCTTTTAAAAAGAAGAGGAGAAAAAAGGGCGGAAACGGAGGGGGAAGACTGAAAGCGCAAAAATGACGAAAAGGTATTCGGATACTATATAAGCAAGCTGCTCGTTAATTATAACTTCGGCTTGTTCTCACGTGCGCATTTTGCTCTTTTCCTTTCTCGGGGTGCAAATTGCACGAAAATCTTGGCAATCACCTCCGGTACGCGCGATTCGCCGTTTCGAGCGGTGTGATCGATTGATTGAATCGAATGGCCGCGATTTCGCTAAACACCGTTCTGCAAAACGCATCCCGCGTATACGGCACGCATCATCCTTTAATGACCAAACCAATTACCGTGCGCACGCATACTCGCGGATACCGAAAGGCCTGTTCCCCGGCTAATTTCCACGCCAGTCGAAACCCACCAACCAACCAACCAACCAACCAACCAACGGATGTACGGACCAACCAACGAATAGAAGTAGAAAACGACGAATGATCGATGACCTCTGGTCCGTGCGGGAAGAAACGGGAAGAAACGATTACTTTCCATCGCGTTAGCCGATATTTCCGAGATTGCGCGGCTGGAAAAAACGGCGCGGAAACGCCGGCCGAACGGGATCCTCGATCGGGTATACCGTACGAAATCAATTAATAGGTAAATCGAGCGATCATTACCGCTGGCAGACGCGATCGCGAGATGAACGATTGGATGGCAAGAGAGCAGGGCATGTTGGCTGCATAACGAGTGCCGTTCCCTGTCCGCCCACGTTCTACGTGCCCAAGAACCATAGGGATGTTCCGCCGCCACGCGGAATCCCACGTGGTATTGTTCTCGAGTTAGACTTCTAGATCGTCTTCGCTTTTGCTCGCTCGCTATTCACCGCTCCAGAGAGAACCGTTATCGCTTTGTCTCGACGCGGTTACCTCGCGGAATATCTCCGTGACATTTAGCCGGACGCGATCGATCGATCGATCGATCCTTTGTCGCGTCCCGATACTACGCGCAGACGGATCTCCTCTGTCATCCCGGTCCTTCGCGACACCGTATCGCGCGTGTATCCGAGTGACTAGACGCGACTTCGACTCATCTAACCGAGTACAGGCGCAGCTTTTTTCCGCGAGATACTCGTCGATAATTGCTTCGATCGATCGATCGCACTTCGGTCCAAAACGGGAGCGCGGGTATCCAGGAGAGTCCGTACATCCCTTCTAGATAGGTTTCGACAAACGCCTCGGATCTACCGCGTCGCGATCGTGTCTCCCATGGAACCGATCGAGTTTTTCCACGGCGACCGTAGGAAAAACCTGGTAGACAGGGATGCGGAGTAAGCACCGCCTCCGTGGGTTTACGTGGAAGGTAGCCGCGAGCGCTTCCATTTCCACGATATCCGGTAACATCGGCTCCGCGGAGTAGCCGCCATCGCATCGAGCCGAGGCGAGACGGGTCGAACGACATTGGCCGTACGGACTCTGCGCCTTAAAGATGGTACTCGGTCGCATACGTGCAACGCATAATTTAACCATCGCTATTTATACCCATTCCATTTCACTCCCTTTCCTAATAGCCCCGCGTATACCTTGCTCGTAGACGCGCTAAATCCGCGGGGGACCGTTCAACGTTTTTCCCGGTTCCGGCCCGACTATCCCACGCGTCTCGACCTCTCGTTCCGCGATAGCTAGCAAGAGCGTATTTAAGGGATCCGGACTCGAGACAAACGAAATTAATACCTGCTTCCGAACACGCATGCGCGCGTGTAGTAGCTAACGTTTCTCCAAGACACGCGTATCGCAAGCGCGCTCGCGATCGGTTGGCGTGCAACGAGCCATCGGAACCGTGGATCGATATCGATCTGAAGAAAAAGTATACACGAGTGTGCGCGAGCGCGCGCCGGTACACTCGGTCGAAACTTATGCTTACCGGCACTGGATAGCCGTGTTATTAAAATCGCTGCAAACTCGTCCTCGCGCATGTAAATGTGCCCGGTGTACGTGCAGGGCCGTTTCGAGGAATATCCGACGCGGGTTCTACGCGCGTAAATGTAAGCAGGTTTGTACGAAATTGTGTATCGCAATGTGTAATTGTAAAATAGCGTATGGGTGAGAGCGACGTGCGTAACACGAACGCACACGGCGGAGGGCCGCGTATTCGCAGCCGATACTGGTAGCCGAGAGACGTACACGCACATCGACGCGCTGTACCTACACCCATCGGCATTCGGTACCCGTGTTATTAAACGTCCGCGTGATCTTTTTCCATCGAGTCTCGCTGCGAGAGGAGGATCCACCGATCCCGTACTACTCTCCGTATATAATTACGATTTACTTCGCATCCCAATACGGCAGAATCGTCCGCGCGTCCGTGATCCCCTCGGCCGCGATTTCGAACGACCACGTCCGAACGAACCACTCGTATAATCGAGCCAGCGCGTTTTAAACGGCAATATAAACAAACGCGATCGTTTCATTCGCGCCCATCTATTTATCGATAATCGTTAACTCGCAATTGTCGGACTAACCCCGAGATAGAGAGAGAGAGAGACCACGGTTGGGAAGTAAATCGATAAACAGAAGTTACCGCGATTTTACGCGTTCGTTCTCGTACGAAATCTACGCGGAAAGCGGGGCCACCCTTCGCCCTCCTGCTTCCCTTCCGTCGATTATCGAGGGAATAAATTGCAATTGGAGCGCGTACGGTGGACGCAGTCGGTGAACGGGTTTTTCACCCGCGGTGCCGAGTCGAGAGGGCTTCGTCACCCCGGTTACACAGGCGTCCCTCCGGGGTGCCCACGTGGGTGTAACGAAGACAAATCGCTCGCGTATTTGATTAATTCGCGGAGATCGCTGGTCCAGCCCGGTCCAGCTCCGAGCACTCGTGGCCCACGTCTCTGCTCCACCTCCTTCCTCCTCCTCCTCCTCCTCCTCC